TGAGACAGGTTCTTGCTCTGTTGCCAAGTCTGGAGTGCAGTGTCATTATCATGGCTCACCGCAGCCTCAACCTCCTGGGCTCAAGCAATCCTCCAGGCTCAAGTGATCCTCCTGCCTCAGCTTCCTGAGTAGCTGGGACCACAGGTGTGCACCACCACACCTAGCTAATTTTTTTTGTTGTTGTTTTTGTGTGAAAACGAGGTTTCACTATGTTGTTCAGGCTGCTCTCCAACTCCTGGGCTCAAGCAATACTCCCACCTCAGCCTCCCAGTAAAAAACAATTTCAAACAGAAGAATAATTATTCTGGAAAGACTGTCGTTTTCTGTTTGCAAGCTGAAAAGAGTTCCCTGATAGCCCTTAAATTCTGTAAAAGAGAATCTGTGAGGACAGAAAGTTCAAAATGGGAAGCATTTCGTGGCTCAGGACCTTTTAATGAGTGAAGAGTGTATAGGGCCTGATCAGTCCTTCTGGCTCACCAGCCTTTCCTAAGCGCACAGCAAACAGGCTTGCTTCCTGCCACTCTCCACCCTCAGGTCAGGAGGTAACTGAGGTCTTGGCAGCTGCCCTTCAGTCCTGCCCCAAACCAACTGAGCATCTGGAAGTTAAACCAAAGGCCAGCAATGTCCTGACTTCGTGAGTAAGCTCCTGTGAACTGAGAGAAGACATGGTGAGGCCAAAACAAGTGCTCATGGGACATACTACTGAAAGAACAGAGCAAAAAGAGTGATAAGAGATAAGGAAAGCCCAGGAAATCTTGTTTGGGGCCAGCCAGTGAATCCCCCTTTCTCTCTCCAGTCCCCCAAATTTCCCATTGCTCTTAGTGTCAAAGGCCCTTAGGCTCTTGGGCTTGGAGAAGCATGAAGAGGAGGGTGTTCTATGGCCCAAAAGAGAGTTTGTTTTTGTTGTTGTTGTTGTTGTTGTTGTTGTTGTTGTTTTGAGACAGAGTCTCACTCTGTGGCCGAGGTTGGAGTGCAGTGGCACAATCTCAGCTCACTGCAACCTCCACCTCCTGGGTTCAAACAATTCTCTGGCCTCAGCCTCCTGAATGGCTGGGACTACAGGCGCATGCCACCATGACCTCCTAATTTTTTGTATTTTTAGTAGAGACAGTGTTTCACCGTGTTAGGTAGGATTGTCTCTATCTCCTGACCTCATGATCCCCCCACCTCGGCCTCCCAAAGTGCTGGGATTACAGGCGTGAGCCACCATGCCCGGCCTTGTTTTTGGTTTTGTTTTTGTTTTGAGACGGAGTTTCTCTGTCACCCAGGCTGGAGTGCAGTGGTGCAATTTTGGCTCACTGCAACCTCCACATCTCTGCCTCCCCAGTTCAAGAGATTCTCCTGCCTCAGCCTCTTACAGACATGCACCACCATGCCCAGCTAATTTTTGTATTTTTAGTAGAAACGGGGTTTCACTATGTTGGGCAGGCTGGTCTCAAACTCCTGACCTTGGATAATCTGCCCACATCCGCCTCCCAAGGTGCTGGGATTACAGGCATGAGCCACTGTATCCAGCCCCAAAAGAGAGTTCAGCTTATTAAGGGCAACCAGTTCCAGGCTTTTGTACATGCTGTGGCCTCCGCTTAGAATATTTCCCCTTCATCTTGTTCTGGCTTGCTCCTTTTAAAAAAAAAAAAATTAGAGACAGGATCTTACTATGTTGCCCAGGCTGGAGTGCAGTGGCTATTCACAGGCATGATCATTGCACACTACAGCTTGAACTCCTGGACTCAAAGAATCCCCTTGGCTCAGCCTCCCTAGTAGCTGGGACTGCAATTGTGTGCCACTGTGCCCAGTTACCTGGCTAGCTTCTATTCCTTCTTTGAATTTCAAATTATGGACAATTTCCTCTTAGAAGTGGAACTCCCACCACCCAGCCAGCCACCACCACCCCACCTTCACCAACTCTTACCACTCCACCTTACTGTTCTCCAAGAAGAGGTTAGAAGCCCTGCTCCCATGGCCTGTTCTTCCTTTATCAGAACTATCCCATTCTAACAGTCGTCTATTTATTTGTCTACTTTCCCACTGGGATTTAAGCTTCCTGAGGCAAGGGATCATGACTGTCTTACTACTGTATCTCTAGTACCAAGATATGCATGATAGGTCCTCAGAAAATGCTTGATATATGGGTGAATAAAATGAAGGAATGGCAGAGAGGACAATTGGCTCCACATGTCTAGAGAATGGTTCTCAGCAGCCTAAGGGAGGAGCCTTCCAGGCAAGGGAAAGGAGCACCAGGCTTTCTCCCTTCCTCTCCTTCCAGCTCCTTCCCATTTCTTTTGCTATGGCACCACCCACTCCCCACCAACACCCATCTCCACTTCCCTTTTAGTGTGAGTTTGAGCTCCCTCTACTGACCAAACTTCAGAACCACAGGTAGCTAAGCCCAGGCACCCTTGCCAGTTATTCTTCGCTAGGAAAAGACCCTTCTACACTCCAGCACTCCGAATCTAGGATTCCTAAGGGACTGGAGTAAGGAGAAAACAGGGCTTGTCAACACACCGGAGAGTTCCAAGGTCTGAGCCCACAGCTCCGATCCTCAACATCAGCAGCACTTCACTCACACCCTCACCTCATGCTGTTTCCTGGGGTCTCCACTCCCAGACTCCTACTCCAGCTAATTCACAGAAATGTTGATTTCTGGAGCCTTTGGCCGATACATCAGCTCTGACTGTGGAAGACAGACCCCAAGACGGATTGAGGAGAAACAGAAAAACAGATGAGAGACAACATAGAGGAAGGGACCCACTGACCGCATATAAACCCACAGTGAGACAAAGATCAGAGTTGAGAAAGACAGCCCACTTGAGCTGAAGCCTCAGCCCTTTCCACCCATATCGAGGGCCCGTGTCCTATGGAGAAAGATTTCCCTCACCCCTTCAGTTTGCCTATGTCCATATACAGCTAAGGGAAGTGACTGTTGATCAGATCTGCAGGCTCAATGGAGATATTATTTAGGGACAGCTCCTGGACAAGAACACTCTCCTAAGCCCTGCCACATTCCCTCGAGAGGACCCAGTCCAGAGCTCACATCTTCACTGTCATTTCCACTGAACGAGTGCTCTGACTCCAGCCCCTTCTCAGGGATGCTTCTTTCCTCCTCTGGCATCAGCTCATCCAGCCAGAGGAGTTCCTGTGGTGAGAAGACCCTCTCCAGGGCCTTTCGGACCCCCACAAGGCCCAACAACTGCAGGAATAGAAACACAGCCCAGGCCTGTCAGCAACAGCAATAGGAACATTAACAATAGTAACATGTATCGAGCATTTCCTGTGTGCTAGGCATTGTGTATCAGTTTCACTGAATGCTAACACATTCCTATGAGGTAGATAGAATAATTATTCCCATTGTACAGAGAAGGAAACTGAGGCCCCGAGTGATTAGTTACTTCCCAGAGGTCACACGTCTGGGATGTAGTAAGCAGATTGGTTCTACTGCAAAGCCTATGATTCTTAACTTCCTCAGTAAGAACAAGGCTAGAAGCCACCTGTGTTATCACCTCACTGAGTAACAAAAGTGTCATGATTTCCTCTCCCAAGACCTCAGATTTCTTCTGGGTTTTATATTCCTACCTGTGGCTGATCACTCCAAAGAGGTTGGGAAAAGGGGTGACTCAGGTGTCTCAGGACTAGCCCAAACCTAGGTATCATTCTGCCATCTTTTACTTTGTCTTAGTATTCCCAACCAGGGAGAGCCACAGCGAGTGAGAGGGGAGATTCTTCCTCTTGTGGAGGCCTTGGCCACCCTTCCAGACTCAAAGTCCCCCATGACCCTCTAGGACACAGTTCAACCCTGCCTCAGGTTACCATGAGGGGGAAGATGATGGCTGCAGGGGTGGACTTGATTATCCAAAGCAGCCCCAGACAGGCAAGTTGGATGGCTGTGAAGAGGTGGACCCTGGTCAGAGGCACATGCCGTAAGAGTAGCAGGTCTGGCTGGTGTTTTGCTGGCATCAACAACAGCTTTACTCTCTTAGTGAACTAGGGGAACAAGAGGAAGAAGAAAGCAAGGCACTCAGGTAGCCTGACAGGAGGGTGTCACTGATAGCTATCTTAGCCCAGCACAGGGAGCAGGGGTAGAAACATGGCAGCCGAGTCCCTGAGCCCACAGGAGAAAGAGGATAAGAAGGGAATTGGCAAGTGTAGGCAGGAGATTCCAGCATAAAAGAAAAAAGGAATGGGGTTGCTAAGTAATTTTTTTTTTTTTTGGCTAGGTGATTTTAATGGGCTCACCTGAATGCTGCTAAGTGCTGCCACCCCCATGTACAGGAAGATGCCATAGAGCACAGGCATTGGGATAAACTGGTAGAAAGAAGCAGAGAATTGGCAAAGTTTACCTCTGCCAACCTCCCAGATGCCCCAGGATGCCTAGATGCCCTAGATGCCTAGATGCCCCTAGCATCCAGCATCCAGGTCTGCCCAGGTCTTGCCTTTCCTTTCACACTTTGCATACCTAATCTTATTGAATCCTCAGATCAATCAGATGAAGTAAGTGTTATTATTGCCTTCATTTTACAGATGGGGAAATTGAATTTCAGAGGGACTAAGTAACTTTGTCCATTACCTGGCCTACCACTCCAATCTTATCTATCACATTTCCCTCTGTTCTTTATGCTCCTACTATACTATACTTTCCTTCCCTCAACAAGCCCAAGTTTGTTCCTACGCCTTGCAAAGCCTTTTGTTTTGCTGTTCCCTCCACCTAAAAGGCTCTTCCCCCAGACTTTCTCATGACCAGTTTCTTCTTACTACTCATGGCTCATCTCATGATACCCCCAAGGGTCTTCACTGACTTTTTGACTTCAGGCCCAATCTTAAGTAGCCCCTGGCACTCTTAATCATCTTATCCTCTTTTATTTTTCATAGAAGTGATCACTATCTAAAGTTATCCTATTGTTTTATTTTTATTTTATTTTATTTTTTGAGACAGAGTTTCACTCTTTCACCCATGCTGGAGTGAAGTGGCGTGATTTCACAACACTGCAACCTCCACCCACCAGGTTCAAGCAATTCTCATGCCTCAGCCTCCCAAGTAGCTGGGATTATAGGCGCTTGCCACCATGTCCAGCTAACTTTTATATTTTTAGTAGAGACGAGGTTTTGCCATGTTGGCCAGGCTGGTCTCAAACTCCTGACCTCAGGTGATATATCCGCCTTGGCCTCCCAAAGTGCTGGGATTACAGGCATGAGCCACCATGGCCGGCCCCTTGTTTTAATTTTTAAAAATCTTTCTCCTTTCACCATATTGCAAGGTTGGAAAAATGATCTCTTTTGACCACCATTGTATCCCCAGTACCTAGAACAGTGCTTAGCATATGGGTTTTTGTTTGTTTTTTTTTGTGTGTGTGTTTGTTTTATTTTTGTTTTTTGCTTTTTGAGACAGGATCTCACTCTGTTGTCCAGGCTGGAGTAGTGTCACAAACATGGCTTATTGCAGCCTAGACCACCTGGGCTCAAGTAATGCTCCCACCTTAGCCTCCCAAGTAGCTGGGACCACAGGTGCACACCACCACGCCCAGCTAATTTTTGTATTTTTTGTAGAGACAGAGTTTGACCATGTTGCACAAGCTGGTCTCAAACTCCTGAGCTCAAGCAATCCGCCTAGCTCGGCCTCCCAAAGTGCTGGGATTACAGGTGTGAGCCACCGCACCTGGCCTGGCATATGGTTTATGCTCTAAATGTCTATGAATGAGAGTCACCCAGTTAGTAAGTGGCTGATCCGGTTCATCTGGCTCTTTCCCTACTCCACTGTCACCCAGCTTTCATGACCTTTCCCTTGCCTAACCTTTTGTCGTCCTGCCAGTGACTCTTGTCTGACATTCTTCACACCCTCCTTGACTGCTTTGCTATTTTGGCTCATTGAGCCTTTCTGCTATTACTTGTTACTTAATTTTTCCTTGTGTGTATGTTGCTGGTAGGGGCTTGGTTCCATGTTTCTTTTTAATATTCCCCTAAGCCCCACTTCTTCCAGGTGCCTAGCAGTCTTGCATATGGCACATATTCTATATACCTCTGGTGAAGGAGAAGTGAAGGCTTTTTGCCCCAAAGTTTTTCTGGGGTACTAGAGCCACACCTTTTTTTTTTTTTTTTTTTCAGACAGTTTTGCTCTTGTCATCCAGTGATCACCACTCACTGCGCTCTCAAACTCCTGGGCTCAAGTGATCCTTCTACCTCAGGCATGCACCACCATGCCCAGCAACTTTTTTTAGTTTTTTGTTTGTTTGTTTGTTTGTTTTTAAGACGGGGTTTCACCATGTTGGTCAGGCTGGTTTTGAACTCCCAACCTCAGGTGATCCACCCACCTTGGCCTCCAAAGTGCTTGGATTACAGGCGTGGGCCACCATGCCCAGCCCTTTTTTTAGTTTTTATAGAGTCAGGGTCTCCTTATGTTGCCCACTCTCAAACTCCTGCACTCAAGTGATTCTCCCACCTTAGCCTCCCAAAGTGCTGGGATTACAGGTATGAGCCACCACACCTGGCCTGATCATACTCTTAGTCTCAGGTTTGTTGGGAGGCTAGAGCAAGGATAGCACTTAGACCCTAGGGGATGGTGGTGGCACACTCACACCTTGCTCCTCTGGGTAGAAAGCCCACTGGATAAGAGTTTGGGTTCTCAGTTACTTTGCCTCTTTAACCTTCAGCTGCCTCATTTGTAAAATACATATTCCTCTCAGGATTAATGTGAGGATTAAATGAGACCACATATGGAGAAAACTTAATAGAGCGCCTGGCACACTGTAAGTGTTCAACTAGTGTCAGTTCTTGCTGTGCTTCCTATTATTACGGCACTGACCCTGATCCTGGCTTGTCTAACAAAGGTACCTTGAGCACAGGTGCTAGGAAGATGGAGACTCCTGTAAGGATGAACACCACCAGGCCTGTCAGCCTCTGCTCCCTGTAGGAAGAGGGAGGAGTTAGCTGGGGTCTGGGAGAGGGAGAGCCCCTGGGGTACACAGACTGGAGATCCTGGCTGAACACCAGTATGGACCCTGGCAGCAAGAGGAAACTAGAGGAATACCCCAGTAGGTCACCTGGAGGGATGGGCCCTTAACTTGATGTGAAAAATTGGTGGAGAGGAAGGGGCAGAGCACTTCAAGGTGAGAATCCCAGACCTCTCCATCAATTCAAGTTCATAATTTCTCCTCATTTTTATTTTGATGGAAAATTAGCAATTTTTACACTGCCATAAAGATTTACATTTCACAATTTATAAAGTTGATTTCATATACTTTAGACACTTAGACTGTTTCCAACAGTTCCAAAATTGCTTTTAGGATGGATTCCTTTGTAACTTCTACATTGAGTGAGGATTCTTAGGTGGCACCTGACCCTCCACTTCAGCCCTGGCTGCCTCTAGCTTTGCATGGATGATGCTCCTCTTGAGGCCCCTCCCCATCCCCATGGCTGAGGGAAGAGAGGGGAATATCTGACTCACCCATCTCAGGGCCCAGAACACACTCATTCTGCCACTGCAGTGCTTGTGGGACACAAGCTTAGAATTTAAGCTGCCCAAATAACTCTGTCATGTTCCCCATTGCCCTACCTTGCTACCCACCTCTTACTCTGCTTCCTAAATACTACCCTCACCTGATACCCAGGAAGTTGGGGAGCTCCCCGGGAGCACAGGCTCTGCTCTCTCTCCGAAGACTGTCCATGTGAGCCAGGGAGATGACAGTGGCTGAGACATACCAAGGCAGTCCAAGCACTGATGTGAGTAACATCAGCATAGCCACACAGAAGAGGTCCAGGTGGAAGCCAGCTCCCTTCTGCAGGTAGTGGTAGAGGCAATGAGGATGAAGCTAGCCCAGGCCTGGGCCCTCTGTCCTCTGAGGTAGGGGATGGGGAGCCTAGACGCACCCCTAGAGCTTCTGTTCCTTGGTCTAGGGCCTTACCTTCAGTCTATATTCTACGCGGTTGAGGATGACTGCTGTGATCTGCTGGTCCATGAAGATGAGGATAGACAGCAGCAGGGCAGGCAGGGCTGCTGCCACACTCCACCACCAGCGGTTGGCTCCAAAAGGTGACACCAGCCAGCCACGCCCAGGGAGTGTGGGCTGGGGGAGGGCATTTCATGGACAGGTTGGAGAGGGTCTCCCAAGAGCATCTCACCTGCACATCTCAACCTTGGCATTCTTCTACTATCTGCCCCCACCCCAAGACATTAGATGCTAGTGAGGTATGTGTGCACAGGTGGTTCAAAGCATCCTAGTGCCTTAAAAGACAGCAGAATGAAGGAAACCAGCCCTGAGGTCGGGCTGGAACCAGGGGCTCTGGACTTTGGTTCAGGGTCCCTCCCTCCCTGGAAGAGAAGGAGGTAGCAGATGTGGCCTGCATACACTTCTTGATATACTCCTTAGAGATCTCTCTCCCCCTCTCCAGGGTGGGGCAACTTAGGCTCAGACCTGCCTTGATCTGGGGCAGGGACAGGGCTGGGTGTGTCAGCGTCAACTCTGATTACAAGCATATGTGTGGGAGAAGAGGCCCTAGTTGCTGCCCTAGTTGGAGTGCCCCCGCTCTCCTGTCTTGGGGGAATTTGGAGAGGCGATCTCCAAATGCACAGACAAAGTCTAGAAGTCAGTGCTAAGCTTTGTCCTGCACACTGTCATGCCCTGGAAAGGGAGTTCCAGCTTTCCTGGATCAGAGCAGACAATAAGGGGTGTGAAGAAGAGAGTGAGGAGTAGTGGGGTGGGCAGGGCCATGCCAAGGGTAGGGCGAACCCATAACAACAATATCTAACATTTATTGAGGATTTGGTATATGCTAAGCACGTGGTGAGTGCTTTCCACTATGATCTTCTGTAAACCTCAGAACAATCTATAGGGTAGCGACTATTGTCATTTTATTATTTCCATTTTATAGATGAAGAAATTGAGCTCAGAAATGTGCATTAACTTGCCTAATGCATAGCTGGGAAGTGGAAGAACTGGAACCAGAACCCAGAGCTGGCTGACCAGAACCCATTCTCTTAACCCATACCCTGTAATAATAGCTACTATGCATTCTCTGTACTCACATGTCTGCTGCAATAGCTCATTTAATCCTCACAGCAACCCTGTGAGGCCATTATTATTACTATCTCTAGCTTATGAGTGAAGAAAAAAGCTTAGCTAAGAGAAGTGTGGGATTTATGCATTTTCCTTCCCCATAGTCTGCTGGCCCTGCTTTCCCCGCTGGTCCCCCAACCTTCTTCCCTTGCTCTCACCTTGAACTCTCTGGGCACCATGAGCTTTGGTGTGGCTAGGCCCAGGAAAGCATCAAGGCCACAGCCCAGCAGGATGGCCAGGACTGAGGAGAAGTCACTGAGCCCTCTGCGTACCTGGCACACAGTGGACACTCAGTCAGGTCCAGGCCTGCCATCCCCCTTTTTCCATACCACTTCCCTTTCACAGATAGGACCCAAAGCCTAGAGTCAGGCCTCTCCCACAGAAAGGTGACACTCACCACAGAGGGTAAGAAGCGGCTGGTCTTTATACACTTGAGGGCCATAGCAAAGAAGAAGGAAGTAAGGAAGAGGAGGAGGGAGAAGAAGGCAATATCTGGGACTGTATGACAGCCAGGGCCACGAGGGTGGCCTCCCTGCCGTGTGCACTCAGGTGGCGGCAGCAAGGATGCATTGATCAGGCCTAGGTCCTGTACAGAGGAGGGTCAGGGATGGGTTATAGGCAACAGAGTAAATGTCCTGCTCTCTTGGTCCCATCTCAAGGGTGGAGGGACCCACAGAGATTCCAAGGGTCCAGGATGGGAAGTTCCCAGCTGTAGGAAATGGCTAAGCCTCACAGACCTATGAAAATTTCCTTAGCCTATGGGTAGGAAGAGCTAGGAACCACTGACTGCCTTGGGCTCCACCCTTTCCTTCCTAGAACCTCCAGGAGCAGCCCCTCACCATGCTTAAGATGTCATCTCTGTCTTTTGGCCTTGTCCTTGTCCATTGAGACTCATTTCCTGGGAAGCAGAGAATAATTCAGGTGTATGTTCCCTCCCCTGGGAACCTTCTCCAGCTCCATAAAATTCTAATCTGATGGGTCCACCTGAACCAGAGTTCTTAATTTCGACTCATCTGTCTGCTGACTCCATCATTACCAAGTGTGTACTTCTCAGGACATTGTCTCATGCCCTTGTCCTCTCAAGTTCTTTTCCCATCTGCATCCCTGGTACCAAGCACAGGACCTGGCCACAGCAGATGCTCAGCAAATGTTGGCTGAATGGAGGAGTATACAAATCTGTGTGTTTCCACCAGGGCTGGAACTGGTCTTATTCATGCCTAGCACTGATAGAAGAACATGTAGAGAGGCCACTTCTTACCAGTGTGGTGTTGCCTTCCATGTGGAAGGATATATGCAAGTGTAATACTCCAAGCTTCTCTCCACCTGGCCGGCCACTTTCACCAAGAAGACCAGTGATTTATTTGATTGGTGATTTCCGGAGATGACGCTGAGCATACCTGGCCCTGCCCCTTTCTCTCCCCTCTCTCAAGTAAAAGTTGCCTGCTTGACGAATGTGTTTAGCGGTGCTCCTATGGGGCAAGATAGTCTCAACTTGACTATCCATGCTTCCATGACTGGTGGGTAAGTCAATCAAATTTTGGCTTCATCATTAGGAAGCCCATTCACCCATAGATATAACCCATGTATGTTCCTCTATCAGTGTTGTCAGAAAGGAAGATGACATTGGGCCTTCTGTTGTCTTATCTCAACTGATTCAGAACAGAGTGGAAATGGTACTGCCAGTTATTAGGTGAGTAAGTACGCAGCATTTTGCTGAACTTAATCAGGAAGGACAGTAAGGGTGCAACCCCTCCCCTTCCCTACATCCTTCTTCACCTGGCCAAGGTCCCTGTTTCCCTTACCCACCTCCTGGGCCTGGGTATTGGCAGAGGCACCCATAGGCAGAGGATCCAGCCTTCTGGATAGGATAGGTATGGGCCAAGTTCAGCATTTTGCCCACAGCATCATAAATGAAGATGAGGCTGATGAGGGCACAGAAACCTTCCTCAGTGAAGCGGGTGAAGTAGCGCACCAGCACGCTGGCCTCTGTGGCCACCAGCACCAGGCAAAAGGTAGCTACCCAGATGCCCACCCATAGGCGGAAGGGCAGGTAGTCCAGGCTGTAATCTCTGTGGGGATGAGAGACAGGCAAGGCTTAGCAGGGCTTTCTTCCCACCAAACCCAGGTCAGATGTCCCTCAACCCAAACAGGTAGCTCCCACCCTCTCCTATTCACCCAACCAGGAGCAGGTTGACCATGGCACTAGTGGGAGTCTGGTGATGGTGGGGAGCCCTCCTACCTGCTGAAAGAGAAGAGCAGGCGCTCAAAGACCAGCACTGGCCCAGTGCTGCTCAGGATGGTGAGGGGCTGGCCTGCCATCAGGCAGAAGGCAGCTCCAGCCACTGCTGTGCCCAGGAAACTTTCCATCACTCCCTGGAAGCCAACAGGGACTCAGCACAGAACCCTGGAGTTCTCACGACGGGACCCCAAGCTTTGGGAGAGCCTCCTTAACTTACCCATGGTCCCAGGAGAAGGGACGGACTGGGGGACACCAAAGCTTGTGCCTGCCCCCTTCACAGAACCCTACCCACCTGGGCACCATCAGTGGCGTCTCCCAGCAGACCCCCAAAAGTGATGGCATTAGTGACAGTGGCCAGGTAAATGTAGAGTACAGCCGAGAAGCACTGGAGATGCAGGGCGTCCAAGAAATCGCTGGGGTACCACGGAGCCTTCCTGCGCACGTCCTGAAAAAGTCCCCCAAACAGCCTCCCGCCCGAGGGTCGTCAGTGATCCAGGTTTTCACACTCCACACCCTCATCCCTGCTACTTTCCCTGTGGCTGGGTGAGCCCCTCCCACAGTGAGCAGACACCTCTTGTTTCCCTGTGACTCTTCCCCTCCTTCAGGTCCCTTACCCTTGCTTCCTCCCAGCTCGCCTCACCTGCCAGTCCGCTGCAACTCAGGGCTGGGGGTGTGCGGGTCATGGCGGTGCCTGTCCTCAGCCGAGGTCAGGCACGGGACTGCGGGACCTTTGATCTCCCGCTGTTGCGAGGGAAGCCTGAGGAGGAAGGAGGGAAACGCCAGGTTGTCTGAGGCTCTCCGCCAGTCCGCGACTCAGTCCAGAGCTCGTGGCGCCCTGCCCCCTGGCGGCTGCTCGTGTCTCTGCCAGCGAGGGAACCATGGCGACACATGGGCCTCAAGAAGATCCAGGGCATACTGCGACCTGTGAAAGCCAGACTCAGGCAGGGAAGGTCTTTGTTCAGGTCTCTTAGCGAGAGGTTAGTCCAGCAGAACTCAGAGTTAGGTCTACCTGACTCTAAATTCAAAGATAGGTCCCTATCTCTTTCCTGGGACCCTGTCCCTCCTCAACAATGGAACTAGACCCAGGGCCTGTGGGCAGGAATCGGTATGGGATGATGGCTCCCAGGTACCTTTTGTGCTGAGATGGCAGACATTTGGGCGGGGGAATCCGGGCTGTTGGGTCCCACCGACCTGGGGGAAGCACCGTCACCTCCTCTAGGAAAGCATCTAGGGCTGCCAGAACGTCATGAAGGTTGCTGGCCCGACGAACTGACCACTGGAATTGCTGTGGATGGGGGCACAGAATGGGTGGTAAGTGCAAATCTGGTCTCTTACATGCATTTTCGTAGTCTCAAAACTAGACACAAGTCACATAAGCAGACAAGTCATTCACATTTTCATTTATGCATGGATTCATTCATTCATTCATTCAGTGGGTATCTATTGAGTGTCTACAGTGTGCCAGCATTCAGCAGTAATGGGGCTACACTAGGAGCCAAGGAAACCTCAGTCTCAATGCTCACTCTGCCTCATTAATGTACTTAGGCAGACATAGAGTCCACACACACACTCACATGAGCCTATGCATGCATGTGTGCATGTGTACACACATAGTTATACACGCACACACCCACCCCTGCCCAGCTCACCGGGTCACTGAGGAGGACAGCTGCTGCCCGGGCCATCTCATGGTAGCCTTTGCCCAGCATAGGGGGGCCCAGGAGAAGGCAGAAAAACCTGAGGAGGGAACCAGGCCCCAGAGATTCACAAGCTGCTTTCCCACAGGGCAGCCCTGGCCTCTGACACTCAGCTCTGACCTATCAGCTCCCATACACACACATATTTGCCTATCTACCCTGCAGTCCTGACTACTACTTCTTCCCTAAACCTCTGAGTACCATCTTCCCCACAGCCTCAGAGAATGAACTGATCCTCCTTCCCCTCCCCAGTAAAGACCCTCCTAGGTTCCATGATCCCTGACTCCCACTCAGTAGCCTCACCTGCTTGGGAGGGACACCTCAGTAAGGGACCCCAGTACCACAGGGTCCCGCAGTCGAACAAAGGCTCCCAGTGGCTGCGCCAGGAAGCCCAGCTCCCCTGACAGCACAGTCCCTGCCTCAGCCCCTGGAGGCAGCTTCTGTCTCAGAGGGTTCTGACGCTGGGTGGGGGTTCAAGGAGACACAGAGTATGAAAGGTTATTTGGGGAGGGTAAGATCTCAACTGATGAGAAACCTAGTCAAAAGTAGACTTTTGTTAATTCCTAACCCCTCTCCCAGTCACTAGAGAGGGAGCCCAAGGAAGGGCCACAAACCTGTTCCCTCAGGGGGGCTTCCTCATCGTCAGAAGCCTTTCTTGAATGAGTAGAGCCTACAAAACAGGATTCTGCAGTGATTAAGAGCACAGGCTTTGGGGGTGGATCCACCAGGACTCCCTAACCAGTTTTGCCACTGACAAGCTGTAAGAATTAGAGTACACCCTTCTCTACTCTGAGCCTCTGTTTTCTCATCACTAAAACGTGGATAATTGTGGTACTTACAGGGCAGTTGTGAAGATCAAATGAAATACTGTGTGTAAAGTTCTTGGCATAGTGCCTACCAAGTACATCCCTTCACAGAACTCTCTTAGGATTCTAGCCCTCTGAATCTTTTCCCCACAACATTACCACCAGTTTCTTCTTGCTCTCAAATACTGGGTTGGGGTCTGAACTAAGCCTAGGCTACTTCTAGCCCCGGAAGGTTCAGGGGAGATCTGAGACCCTGCCACACCAGGGTCTTGGTCCTGGGCCCAGGGAGGGGCTCTCACCCCAGCAGGGCCTGGTGCCTGTGGTCTTGTAGTGCTGGGGTCTCTGCAGCAGCAAGGCCTGCAACTGTCCTCTCAGCTCTGGGCTCAGTGACTCCACCCTGGTCACCTGCTCTGGAGAACAGATAGGGGGTGTCATCTCCCTCCTGAGCGTTCCCTGCCCCCATGCACTTCCCCTTCTCCCTCTGCCCAGACCCCTTTCCCTTCTGGGAGTCTAGGAATGCCAGGGCCAATGAACTTGCTCCTCCACCCTGCTTTGCCATGTCCATGCTGTGACAAGGGTAGACAATCCTAGGAGGGGTGGGGGTGGGTTTTAGAAGATTCCAAGACTTTGGAGGGGAAATCCTGGGGAAAAGGCATGGCTACCCAGGCTCTTCCTGCAAAGGCTCTCCGCCTACCTACAAGCTCCAGGAGGCTCTGAGCTGGACAGTCCAGCAGTACAAGACCCTCGGCCAGCAGGCTGCGGAGCTTCTGGAGGCTGGGTAGTGCCAGGGTGGGCACGTGGGGGGCACTCCACCGGCCTGCAGCCATTTCCAACTTCTCCTCAAACAGTACCCACCTGCAATGGAGGTGGGTAGACAGTGTTATTGGGGGCATTTCTCCCATGTCCAGGAGCCGGGATGGAGAGGAGCTAGGGAAGGGAAGGCAATGAGAGCATCCTGGGCCCAGTGGTGTGAAGTATCCCCCCACCCCTGGCAATCACCCCTCATCTTGGGTCTTGGGGATCTCAAAACTAGACTACAGAAGAGGCTGAGCATCATGGAAGGTAAGACCCTGAAATAAGGGAACACAGCTAGGAAAATCCTAATTTTGGGCAGCCCCACAAGAAGAGCTGGGGGGCATGCAGGAGGCTGTAGCTGGGGAAGGGGAAGGATCCCACAGAACTGGCTTGCATCCCACTTACCTGCCTGTCTCTCTCCACTCCAGTGCCTGGGGCCAGCCCAGTAGCTCATTCAGCTGAATGAAGAGCAGAGGGTCTTTGGGTACGCCCAGTTCCTTGCTCTCTGTGGCTGAGGGGCCATCAGGGCTATGGCCGGGGCCGGGACCAAGGTCGCTGTCCAGCTCCCCTGCAGAAACATTTGTAGGAGTACTGGAAGCTTCAAACCCCTCCTGGCCTGGCAGCTTCATTTCCATGAGGCTGGCGCAGAATCTCAGAACCAGTACAGTCCTAGGTTCTGAAGCCAGGGGCCCTCTGGCTGGTTGCGTTTATAATGCATCCCCCACTGCAGCACAACACAAACAGAACAAGGCCTGCTGATGCCAGAGCCTGCCAGTCACCTACTCCCCTACTTGCTTGCCCCACCCACTGCTGGCATAAAGAGTACTTGTAAGACTAGCCTGGCCTTTCCCAGGCGCTCCAGAAATGCCCAACCTGGGGCCAAAATGTGTATGTGCATTTCCTGTGGCATCAGGTCTGATCCCACTGTGTTTTGTGTAAAGAAATGGGAGTAAATGATTGGCCTGGGTCTGAGGACTGGTACCCCAGATTTTGTTATCCCGTAACTTGTATCAAATAAAAACACCAAACACCCAGGACTGTTTTTGGTGTCACCAACACACCCCTGGGGCCACAGACACACCCATTTGGACAAACAGGCACCTAATAAATAATTGGGTCTATGGAAGCCAGACAGGGTAAGGGAGACAGCAGGCAGAGGCTCTGCTCATTAAATGGGATAATGATGGAAGACCTAGTGCCTGAGTCTTTTTCTTTTCTCTTTTCTTTTCTTTTCTTTCCTTTCCTTTCTTTCTTTCTTTCTTTAATACAGGGTCTCACTCTGTCACCCAGTCTGGAATGTAGTGGCACAATCACAGCTCACTGTACCTTTGACCTCCTAGGCTTAAGTGTTCCTCCCACCCCAGCCTCTCAGGTAGCTGGGACTACAGGTGCACACCACTACACTAATAAGTATATATATATTTTTGTTTGAGATGGAATCTCGCTGTCGCCCAGACTGAAGTGCAGTGGCACCATCTGGGCTCACTGTAACTACCACCTCCGGGGTTCAAGTGATTCTCCTGCCTCAGTTTCCAAGTAGCTGGAATTACAGATGTGTGCCACCACACCTGGCTAATTTTTATATTTTTAGTAGAGACAGGGTTTCACCACATTGGTCACGCTGGTCTCAAATTCCTGACCTTAGGTAATCCACCCGCCTCAGCCTCCCAAAGTGCTGGGATTACAGGTGTGAGCCACTGCGCCTGGCCACGTGGCTCATTAGTCTTAAATTCTTTTGTCCAACAACATCTAGGAATTCCCCAATTTAGTTGCATCCCTGGGATCTGCCCTTGTAACTCAACCTTGCAGTGAGGATGGAGGAGCCCACTAGGGGGGTGTGAGTGAAGCAGTTCCTGGAGCTAAATGAGCAAAGGAAAATGTGGTCCATTATTAGTAAATCTTATTGACTCTATTTTCAGAATATACCCATAATCCAACCACATCTCCCCACCTCTAGCACTGCTACCCTGATCCAAACAACCATCATTTCTCACCTGAATTATTTCAGTAACTTTCTAGCTTTTTGCAATAACCCCTTTGCTTCCACTCTTCCTTCCTTGCCTAAAGTCCATCCTCCACGCTGCAGCATACACGTCCTTTCAAAAGGCAGTTGAGCCACACTACCCTTCGGTTCAATACTCTCCTAACACATTCCCATTACTCCTAGAAGAAAAAAATCAAACTTCTTGTTATGGCCTGCAAGATTCACAACCTGGCCCCAGCCCACCTCTCTGACCGCATCTCCCACCAGTCTCCCCTTGCTCACTCCTTTTTAACCACACTGGCCTTCGTCTGTTCTGCAAAACCTGTTCCTGAGGGTCTTTGCAGCATCTATTTTCTCTGCAAGGAAAGATTTTCCCCCAGATCCTCACATGACAATCTGTCACCTACGTCTCATCTCAGACGTTAGCTACTCCAGAAAACCTTCCTTTTCCATCCTGTCCTAAGTTTCTCTCTTGGGTCATTCCATCACATTTCTCTGTTATAGTTTCTTCCTAGCAGTTACCACTACTAGTAACTGCCTAATTTATGTATTTGTTTATCGTTTATTGCCTGACTACACACGCACTAACACGCTGAAATGCACAGTCCGTGGAGCAGGTATCTGTTTTCGCTGGTGCCTGGCACATAGTGGCTCTCAATAAGTGTTTGTTCAATGGGAACATACAAAGGACAGGGCTGAGAAAGGAGCCGCGCTTCTCCTGGAGGCCACACGAGGGCGCTGCTTCCCACAGACCAGATTGCTAGGGCCGCTCCCTTAGGCCAAGTGGCCGAGTTTCGGGGCGCCGAGATGGCGAGATGGCAGGGAGAGATCCTAGATCCTCCGCTGAATGGCCCGGAGGGATGAGGGGTTGGGGGAAGCACTACAGGATGGGGAAGGGAGGGCCAATCAGGCTCATCTGAATGTAGGTCAGGCACGCCTCACACACTGAATACTAAGAATTCATCCCCTGAGAAAGGGGACCCAGGCTGGCCCTCCCACCAACCTCATGTCTGGTCCAGGGAGGTCCCAGGGCAGGAATTAGAAGAGCATGTCATTATATTTCCAGTTGGAGAGGGGTGCTGAGTGTGAGTGGGGAGATGGTTTCAGTCCCAGGAGGAATAGAAACTGGCCTAGGGCCTGAATGGGCCTGGAACCCCAGTGACCACTCCCTTCAAGAATGTGCCCCAACCTTAGGGACAAGTGACTCAAAGGAGCCTAAGGGGAATGGGAGCAAGGATTTGGCGTGAATACCTCCCCTACATGCACATACACACGTTCCCTTCCCACCCAACTCCTGCCAAAGTTCAGAGTGTCTATCCTTGCCCTTTCTGTGTGGCACCAGCTACCCTGGCTCCCAGTAGTGGGCCACCATGCTGCCACTCTTCCTGGGTCCCACTTCCACCTCTGGGTCTGAGTGCCCTGAGCTGGGCAGGCTGTTGAGGGTTGGCCTGTAGATACCAGTGGTCTCCCAGATAGGGCCCAGGGAAGGTGTGCTGTATGGGGTGAGCAGCCCTGGGTGTGAGTGCTAGAAAAAACCCTGGCCTAGGAGTTCAAAGACTGGGTTCTCATCCTGACTTAGTCACAGACTTATTGGGTGTCCTTGAGCATGACCCTTCCCTTCTCCAAGAATCCATTTTCTTACATGTAAGTGGAGACAATTGGGGTAGATTATTTCCAAGGTTCAAAGCATACTTTCATGCAGTACACTGGACCTTAAGGGAGAGGCGGTAGCCCCAGGAATAGGTTGCCTGGCTGTAAATCCTGGCTTGCTCACTTTTGGCAAGTGGAAAGGAGGTTTGTCTTTGCTGAATCTAAACTTTCTTTCTTTCTTCATTTCTTTTTTTTTTTGACACAGGGCCTTACTCCGCCATCCAGGTTGGCTTGCAGTAGCAATCATAGCTCACTGCAACCTCAAAGTCCTGAGCTCAAGCGACCCTGCTGCCTCAGTCTCCTAAGTAGCTGGGACTACAGGCACGTGCCACCAAGTCTGGCTAATTTTTTAATATTTTGTAGAGGCAGGGGCTCATATGTTGCCCAGGCTGATCTCAAACTCTTGCATGCAAGCAGTGGCTTCCAACAGTGTTAGGATCACAGGCATGAGCCTCCATGCCCAGTCCCTTACAAGGTTTTTAGCACTTTAAAAAAACAAAACAAACTCTTATTGGCTGGGCATGATGGTTCACACCTGTAATCCCATCATGTTGGGAGGCTGAGGCAGGTAGATCGCTGGAGCTCAGGAAGTCGAGACCAGCCTGAGCAGTATGGCAAAACCCCATCTCTACAAAAAATACAAAAAACTAGCTGGGCATGTTGGCACATGCATGTGCTCCTAGCTACTCAGGGGGCTGTGGTGGAAGGAGCACTTGAGCCTGAGAGAGGTTTCGGCTACAGTGAGCCCAGATCGTGCCACTGTACTCCAGCCTGAGCAATAGAGTGAGACCCTGTCTCAAAACAAAACAGAAACAAACCTACTGTTTAACTCATTTTAAAATAAATATATAAATAAATGTAAATTAAATGATTTATTATGTGAGTCTAATTATAGATTCACAAGAAATTGCACATCAGCTTTCATACAACTTCCTCTGGTGATAACTTCTTTCATTACAGTAGTACAACATAAAAACCGGAACAATGACATAGGTACTATATTGTTAAATAGACTACAGGCCTTAATCAGATTTCACCAATTTCTATATGCACTCATTTGTGTGTGTGCGTGTAGTTTTATAAAATTTTTATCACATTTATAGATATACTTACAACAAACAGGGCAAATTGTTCAATCTCCTTAAGCCCAATTTATAAAACTGGGGTGATAATACTAACTGCCTCAGAGGAATGTTGTGAGAATTAGAGATAATGTGTATAAAGTGCTTAGAGTCTGAACTCGGTGGCTCACTCCTATAATCCCAGCACATTGGGAGGCTGAAGTGGGCGGATCACCTGAGGTCAGGAGTTCAAGACCAGCTTGGCCAACATGGTAAAACCCCATCTCTACTAAAAATACAAAAATTAACCAGGTGTGGTGGCACATGCCTGTAGTCCCAGCTACTCTGGAGGTTAAGGCAGAAGAATCACTTGAACCGGGGAGGTGGAGGTTGCAGTGAGCCAAGATCATGCCACTGGACTCCAGCCTGGGTGACAAGAGCAAAACTCAA